GGTCTCGATCTCCTGACCTCGTGATCCGCCCGTCTCGGCCTCCCAAAGTCCTGGGATTACAGGCTTGAGCCACCGCGCCCGGCTCATGTGATTCTTAAAGGTGAAAGAGAGAGGCTGGGCGCAGTGGCTCATATTTGTAATCCCAGCACTCTGGGAGGCCAAGGCGGGTGGATCACGAGGTCAGGAGTTGGAGACCAGTCTGGCCAATATGGTGAAACCCCGTTTCTACTAAAAATATAAAAATTAGCTAGGCGTGGTGGCACTTGCCTGTAGTCCCAGCTGCTTGGGAGGCTGAGTCGAGAGAATCACTTGAACCCGGGAGGCGGAGGCTGCAGTGAGCTGAGATGGCACCACTGCACTCCAGCCTGGCTGACAGAGCAAGATTCTGTCTCAAAAAAAAAAAAAAAAAAAAAAAAAAAAAAGAAAGAGAGGCAGAAGAGGGGTCAGAGTCAGAAAGATTTGAAGACACCAAGTTATTGTCTTTGAAGAGGGAAAAAGGAAGTCACACTGGGAATGCAGGCAGCCTCTGGAAGTTGGAAAAGGCAACGAAATGGGTCCTAGAACTCCCAGAGCGAGGAATCCTGCTGCCACCTGGATTTGGGCCTAGTGATACCCATTTTGGACTTCTGACCTCTAGAACAGTAAAGTAATAAATAAGTGTTGTTTTAATCCACTAACTTTATGATCGTTTGGTAGAGCAACAAATAGAGATCCAGTACAATAATAACCCCTCAGTCTCAGTGGTTTTCAAATACAAAAGTTTGTTTCTTGCCCATATTACGTGCCCTTCACAGTTTGGCTTTGGCTCTGTCCCATGTCTTCTGTGTCCCAGAACCCTGGCAAGAGAGGCTGCCCCTACCAGGGGGACACCAGGCTCAGGGCAGATGGAAAAGCACAATGGCAGAACCACATTGGGGCTTTGAAAGCATCAGAGAGGTGCTTTGATGCTCTGCTTCATGTCTTCTATATCCCAGAGCCCTCTCTTGTCAGGGTTCTGGGATACAGAAGACATGGGACAGAGCCAAAGCCAAACTATGGGCTGAGCGCTGTGGCTCATGTCTGTAATCCCACCACTTTCTGAGGCCGAGGCGGGCAGATCACTTGAGGTCAGGAGTTTGAGATCAACCTGGCCAACATGGTGAAACGCTGTCTCTACTAAAAATATAAAAATCAGCCAGGTGTGGTAGTGCTCACCTGTAATTCCAGCTACTCAGGAGGCTGAGGTGGGAAGATCACTTGAACCCGGGAGGCGGAGGTTGCAATGAGCTGGGATCATGCCACTGCGCTCCAGCCTGGGTGTCAGAGCAAGACCCTGTCTCAAAAACAAAACAAAACAAAAAAATAGCCAGGCGTAGTGGCACATGCCTGTAGTCCCAGCTACTCAGGAGGCTGAGGTGGGAAGATCACTTGAACCCGGGAGGCGGAGGTTGCAATGAGCTGGGATCATGCCACTGCGCTCCAGCCTGGGTGTCAGAGCAAGACCCTGTCTCAAAAACAAAACAAAACAAAAAAATAGCCAGGCGTAGTGGCACATGCCTGTAGTCCCAGCTACTCAGGAGGCTGAGGAAGGAGAATTGCTTGAACCCTGGAGGCGGAAGTTGCAAAGAGCCAGGATTGTGCCGCTGCACTCTGGCCTGGGCAACGGAGTGAGACTGTCTCAAAAAAAAAAAAAAAAAAATTAAAAACAGATATTCTCCCCAGTGTAGGAGATCAGTGTCAGATCTCCAAGGGTAGCACTGAAGGAAATGAGCCTGGACACCCTCCCAAGGTTAAAGTGACTAGCCCACTCCCAGGCTTCTTTTAGGTACCCCTTCCTGATCTCTAACCTTAATTATGGGGGGGAGAGGAGAATAGTTGAAAACACAGCTGGTCTAGGAGACTCATTCCGTTTCATGGAACACCTCTGTGCAGGCTGTGTCCAGGAACAGCCGTAGACCACACAGTCAGGCTACCCAGCGTGTGGGCCCAGCAGCCAGGCTGGAACTCTATCTCCACTTACCTGCTGAGTGGCTGGCAGGAAGTTACTCAGCCTCTCGGTGAGCAACCCAAACTCTGTGTGTTAGTTGTTTGTTCATTGATAAAATTAGGCTTCTCATCATTCTCATCAACTTCACGCGCTTGCTGTGAGGAACACATGAGCTGATGCCATCACAGCCTCCTCAGTAGGCAGCAGTAGGTGTTTAGGGAGCTGGCTATGGAGGCTGCCCCGCTCACTGCTTCCTTTCTAGGGGAGGCCAACTTCACATGCGTGCACACACACAAACAGGGTGGCCTGATGCAGACCAGCTGGTCTAGAAAGGCCTTCACGGCCTCAGGGAGCCTGGGAGGCGGCTTGGGGGAGACCATGAAACGCAGATAGACCAGCGACCCAGAGATCAGAGAGACCAAAGGACCCAGAGATCCAGAGACATCCAGACACCAGAGGCAACAAGAAAGTGAGAGGCTCAGAGGCCCATTGAGACCCAGGCAGCTTGTTCTGTGTTACGAGGGGAAAAATAAAATAAAAAACAAAAGAAACAAAAGAGAGACCCAGGGAGCCTCACTGAAACCTAGAGACTCAGGGAGGCCAATAGATTCAGGGACACCCATAGAGAGCCAGAGACCCTGCCGCAGCAAGGCACAATCAGTGAATCAAAACTCGCTCACCAGGCCCTCGCAGTCCAGGCCTCATTTCCCGGCTCAGCACCTTGGCGCTGCGTTTATCAAGACGGGAACAGGGATCCTAGCTCCCGGCCCGTCCTATGGGGTCTCAGGCCCTGGGGTCCAGCTGGCCTGCCTTCACGTCTCTTATAGTTGATGAAGCTTTGGAGACGCTTTCACCCTGGGGAGCCACAGCTGGGCGCCGACTGGGCTCACAAGCGGAGAGGCAGGCGGTGAAGGCCAAGCCCCGCCCCCCAGGAAGGCCCTGATTGGTGGACGGGCTGCTCTGGGCAGGGCCGCCCTGAGGCTATATAAGCCCGCTCGCTGTCTACGCGGGCGTTCTGCTCTGGGCAATTCCTGAGCTCGGGTAAGGCTCTCTGGAGGAGGAGGCTGGGCTGCTTGTGCGCGCCGAGGTGGAGATTGGCCCGGGGGTGGTCGACCGCACGTTCTCCTCAGCCCCGTGGTTGGCGTCACTCTCTCGGGGATGAGGGTGGGTTTAGGACAGGAGCTTGAAATGTTTGAAGTGGCCCCATCAGCTTGCTCTAAATTCAGGTATTTCTCTAATTTCGTTCATCCCTGAGGGCCTCAGTTTCCCCTCGGTGTAAGGGATCAGTGACCCTTTCAACTCTGCTTTGGTGAGGGGTCGGGGGTGGTTGTGAGTTGGGGCCTGGAGGAGCAGTTAAGCTCTGGGTTTTTTGTCTTTTTTTGCCAGGCGCAGTGGCTCACGCCTGCAATCCCAGCACTTTGGGAGGTCAGGAGTGTGAGACCAGCCTGGCCAACACGATGAAACCCCGTCTCTACCAAAAAATACAAAAAATTAGCCGGGCGTGGTGGCGCATGCCTGTAATTCCAGCTACTCGGGAGGCTGAGGCTGGAGAATCACTTGAACCCGGGAGGCGGAGGTTGCAGTGAGCCGAGATCGCGCCACTGCACTCCAGCCTTGGCGACAGAGAGACTCTGTCTCAAAACGCACAAACAAACAAACGAAACCCGAAAAACCTCTCGGGGTTTTGGAGACCAAAGACTTCACTTTTAACTGGCTGTGAGGTTTTCAGTTTCCTCGTTTAAAAATGGGTCGAGTTAATCTTACCTCTTTACCAGAATGGAATAAGATAAGGCCCTTAAGCACAGCTCCAGGCACTTAGGAAGCCCTCAGCCGTGCTTGTTGCTGCTGTTACTCTGGCCTGTCCTGGGGTGCCAGGAGGAGGGTGGGGGTGCCGCAGCCCATAGCAACTCTTTGCTTCTTTTCTGACCTCCCCACTCCTCTTGCATCCCAACTGCCTTCTATTCTGAGCCCCCAAGTCTCTGCACCCACCCCTCCGCCGTCCTGGCCCCTGTCACCACCCTCTTGATTTGTGGGCGTCATGGGGGTACATGCTAAGTCCTGAGCCTCCTTTCTCTACAGGTCAACCTGCCCCATCTCCATCTCTTATGAGATGAGTGACTCCCAAGACCCCACCACTTCCCCTGTAGTTACCACCCAGGTAGAGCTGGGGGGCTGCAGCCGGCAAGGTGGGGGCAATGGGTTCCTCCGTTTTCGCCAGCACCAGGAGGTCCAGGCCTTCCTCAGCCTTCTGGGTGAGTTTGGAGGGCTGGCACGGGAGGGACTGTGAGGCCAAGTGTGAAAGCAGACGTGAAGTGTGAGGTCTCACCTTCCTGTACAGACATCTGAGGCCTCTGACCCTCACCCTCTCAAGGTAACCCAGCTTAGGCAGGTAGGAGGGGAGTCCTCTCAGAAACTGGGTTCAGGGCCAGGCGCCGTGACTCATACCTATAATCCCAACACTTTGGGAGGCTGAGATGGGAGGATTACTTGAGACCAAGAGTTCAAGACCAGCCTGGTCAACATAGTGAGACCTCATCTCTATTTACATTAAGAAAGAGAGAGAGAAAGAAGAGAGAGAGAGAGAGAGAGAGGGTTCAGTGGCGGCTTGGGCTTTGGAGCTTCTGATGCCACTCTTCATGGAGGCGGTGGTAACCTGCGTCCTGTCTTCTCTACCCTCAGAGGACAGTTTTGTCCAGGAATTCCTCTCCAAAGACCCCTGCTTCCAGATTTCAGATAAGGTGAGAGAGCACAGGCTGGGGGTCTCTTGAGGTTCAGGTTGAGTTGGTGGAAATTGAGTGCCGCTGCTTTATTGGGTGCCCTGGTCTGGTAGGGAGAGCCACTCCCCTTCCACCCTTACCAGTTCATCTTTGCATACCCCTTCCCACCATTTTACTGACTTTCTTTCCCTGCAGCACAACCTCCTTGGGTGCAAATGAACCTGGGTGCAAGCCCCTCCTCCTCAGAGGATAACTAACCCCCCGACCCTGATCTGTCTCTGCAGTATCTCCTGGCCATGGTGCTGGTCTACTTCCAGCGCGCCCACCTGAAGCTCAGCGAGTACACCCACAGCAGCCTGTTCTTGGCCCTGTGAGTGGCGGGGGCAGGCAGTGGAGGCATTTGCTGGAGGTGTCGGATGGGACGGGGCAGATGTGTGGCCTCTGCTCCCTGACCCTGTGCCTCTGTGGCTAGGTACCTTGCAAACGACATGGAGGAGGACCTGGAGGGGCCCAAATGTGAGATTTTTCCATGGGCCTTGGGAAAAGATTGGTGTTTACGAGTGGGGAAATTCCTGCACCAGAGGGATAAGCTTTGGGCACGGATGGGTTTCCGGGCTGTTGTGAGCCGCCAGTGCTGTGAGGAGGTGAGGTTGTGGAGGCAGCCTGGGGTGTGGGGAAGGCTGGGGTTCCCACCCCATTTACTGTCCACTCTGCTCCTCCCAGGTCATGGCAAAGGAGCCATTCCACTGGGCTTGGACTCGGGACCGGCGCCCCCACCATGGTGGGGTTCAGAGGGTCTGTCCACAGGTCCCTGTTCACCTTCCCCGGGGTCCTGGCCTCTCGCCGCCCCACTGTTCCCCCTGTGGCTTGCCCCAGCACTGCAGCCGCCACCAGCTTAAGCCTGTGTCATCCAAGTGCCCTTCTCTGACCTCGGAGTGTCATCGTCCTCCTTCCCAAAATTATCTCTCAAGGGTCAAAAACGCCTGGGGTGGGGACTTTCTCATCGTCTTGCCCCCGCAGATGCAACTGGAACCAGGCACCTACTCCCTCCGCAGTGAGTGCAGGATGGGACAGCAGCTGCAGGGCTGGTGTGGGAGCTTGGGAGGCAGGAGTGAGGACCAACAGTATGAGAGGGAGTGCTCTGGGCCTCGAATCGACGTGCTGCCCTTCCTGTGTGAGCTCGGCAGGTTTCCTCTCTGAGCCTGACTCTTTCCTCTCCGCAGTCTTCCCAAAGCCTCTGGCACGCCCTGGGCACTGAAGCCCTGCAGGGTGAAGAACAGCACGCCTGCTGGCCCGCTGACTGACACACCACTGGCTGTGCCCCCACCCCTGCCCCTTCCTCCCAGCCCGCAGCTTGTGCCCACTCTGGTCCTGGTCCCCTCTAATAAATTCATGTCCACAGGACACCAACTGTGCTTAGGTCCTGGCCTGGTTCCTTGACCCAGGGTTGGGGTAGGGAGGAGGTGTCTACCAGGGTTACACCATGTGAGCACAGGCTGTGTAACAGCTCGGCCCCTTCCCATTGGTGGCCAGTTATTCTGAGCCTCAGTTTCCTCTCTGTGCTGTCCATGCCTATGGATGATGAGATCTACACAGTCTAGATGGGATTAAGTGAGATGAGGTATCTGCAGCCCTTAGAAGAGGGCCAGGGAGCCGAGCCTGGTGGCTCACACCTGTAATCCCAGCACTTTGGGAGGCTGAGCTGGGTGGATCACTTGAGGTCAGGAGTTCAAAACCAGCCTGGCCAACATGGTGAAATCCCTTCTCTACTAAAAATACAGAAATTAGCGAGGCATGGTGGTGGGTGCCTGTAGTCCCAGCTACTCGGGACACCAAGGTGGAAGAATTGCTTGAACTGGGGAGGCAGAGGTTACAGCAAGTTGAGATCACGCCACTGAGCTCCAGTCTGGTGACAGAGTGAGGCTCTGTCTCAAGAAAAAAAAAAAAAAAGGAAAAAGGGGGGGCTGGGGCCAGGAACATATTGGGAAACAAAATTTGAATGGAAAACAGCTCTTTATTTAGTCTAGAAATGCCTTCAGGGCCAGGTTTACTTAGGAATAAGACTTGATCACTTCCTTGAGCTGCAATCAAATATAATATTGTAATTATAATAACCCCCTCTCCCCCAAGAGACATGGGGACTCAAAAGGGTTAATTTCTTTCTTTTTTTGTTTTTTTGAGACTGAGTCTCGCTCTGTCGCCCAGGCTGGAGTGCAGTGGCGGGATCTCGGCTTGCTGTAACCTCTGCCTCCCGGGTTCAAGTGATTCTCCTGCCTCAGCCTCCTGAGTAGCTGGGATTATAGGTGACCACCACTGTACCTGGCTAATTTTTTTGTATTTTTAGTAGAGATGGGGTTTCACCATGTTGGCCAGGCTGGTCTCGAACTCCTGACCTCATGATCCACCCACCTCGGCCTCCCAAAGTGCTGGGATTACAGGCGTGAGCCACCATGCACAGCCCAAAAAGGGTTAATTTCTTAATGGAGGAGATAGGAAGGCTTCCCAGAGGAGATGGCAATTGGACTGCACCTGGATATTCATGGAAGGACAGTCTAGAGTAGTGATTATGGCTTGGTCTTTGGAGCCAGCTTTTTAAATTCAAATTCCAGGTCTCTGGGTTAGCTTGGCATGTTATTTAATCTCCCTGTGCCCTCATTGACTCATCTGTAAAATGGGTTATTCTGAGATGTGAATGGGTTAATCCCATGGAAGGGTTTAGAACAATGTCTGGCATGAACAAGTGTGAACCCTGGGTGTTCCAGTGGAGGAAACTGCCTAGAGAAAGGCTGGTGAGGAGGGTGTTTAGGGGGTGAAGATGGAGAAGGGTAGCAGAGAATAGACAGAGTTAAGAAAGCCTGGAGACTGAGGACATTAGAAGCCAACACAAGGACTAAAAAGTATTTTTAATATGTTTTTCCAATAGATAATATATTCACATGTATATTTTAAACCAAGAGCCACCCTCCTACCCCTGACTTCAGCTCCCTGGTTCTCTGCCCTGAAATCAACGAAAGCAATGTTTCTCCTGTCTTTCCAGAGAAAGAGTCTAAACTTATAGAAGCCCATGTGGTATAATAAAAATTTTTAAAAATATATAGATGGCTGGGTGTGGTGGCTTACACCTGTAATCCCAGAACTTTGGGAGGCCAAGATGGGAGGATCACTGGAGCCCAGGAGTTCAAGACCAGCCTGGGCAACATAGTGAGACCTCATCTGTGCCAAAAAATTTAAAAATTAGCTGGGTGTGGTGGTGTGTGCCTGTAGTCTCAGCTACTTGGGAGGCTGGGGTGGGAGAATCACTTGACTCCAGGAGTTGGAGGCTGCAGTGAGCTATGATTGCACCAGGGCGCTCCAGCATGGGCGACGGAGCGAGAGCCAGTCTCAAAATACATATGTATGTCTATTTGGTTCCTGACAGAGCTCCTGAAACCCTTGTAATTTTCTTTTTTTCTCGCTCTGTTGCCCAGGCTGGAGTGCAGCGGCACGATCTTGGCTCACTGCAAGCTCCGCCTCCCGAGTTCACGCCATTCTCCTGCCTCAGCCTCCCAAGTAACTGGGACTACAGGCGCCCACCACCACGCCCAGCTAGTTTTTTGTATTTTTAATAGAGACGGGCTTCCACCGTGTTAGCCAGGATGGTCTCCATCTCCTGACCTTGTGATCCGCCCACCTCAGCCTCCCAAAGTGCTGGGATTACAGGCGTGAGCCACTGCGCCCGCCCTTAACCCTTGTAATTTTCTAAGTGATAGAAGTGTCTTTTCTTGATAGCAACCCTTCCACCTCTATTAATCCTAATAAGATTATTACACCTGAGTTTATGCTAATGAGGCGACAAGACCAGGGGCTGGGGGACTAAAGATTGGGTTATAAAAACGGGTGGATGTGCTGGGAGGGTAGAGAGGGCCTGGAAGCTCTGTGTACCATACCCCCAGTGCCTTGCCCTATGCATCTTTTCCATCTGGCTGTTTTGGAATTGTTTCCTTTATAATAAACAGGTAATATCCTAGGAAGTGAGGCACTTTCCTGAGTTCTGGGAGTTGTCTACTGCATTATCAAACCTGAGGAGGCGCTGGGGGAACCTCTGAATTTGTAGTTCGCCAGAGAGAAGCATTCCCTGGGTACCCCATTTGTGGCTGGTATCTGAAGTGGGGGCAGCCTTCGGGTACTGAAGCCTTAACCTGTGGGGTCTGTGCTAACTCCAGAAGTAAGTGTCAGAATGGAATTGAATTGTTCAACACCCCATTGGTATTGGAAAATTGGTGTCAAAAAATGTATTTCGTGAAAAAAAGACAACACACTGATATGTATATATTTCCCACATCGTTTTTATTAAATGCCAGAATTCTCTGCATCCTGTTGTGCACTTATGAATGCATTATGAAGTTTTTTTTTTTTTTTTTTTTTTTTT